AAGAATAGCAAGGAGAGACAAGAGGGCCTTCTTAAATGAGCAGTGCAAAGATATAGAGGAAAATAATAGAAAAACCAGAGATCTGTTCAAGAAAATTGGAGATGTTAAAGGAACATTTTGTGCAAAGATGGACATAATAAAGGATAAAAATGGTAGGGACCTCACAGAAGCAGCAGACATCAAGAAGAGGTGGCAAAAATACACAGAGGAATTATACCGAAAAGATCTGCATGTCCCAGACAACCCAGATAGTGTGGCTGCTGACCTTGGGCCAGACATCCCGGAGAGTGAAGTCAAGTGGACCTTAGAAAGCATGGCTAACAACAAGGCCAGTGGAGGTGATGGCATTCCAGTTGAACTATTTAAAATCTTGAAAGATGATGCTGTTAAGGTGCTACACTCAATATGCCAGCAAGTTTGGAAAACTCAGCAGTGACTAGAGGATTGGAAAAAATCAGTCTACATCCCAATCCCAAAGAGGGGCAGTGCCAAAGAACGCTCCAACTACCATACGATCGCACTCATTTCACACGCTAGCAAGGTTATGCTCAAAATCCTACAAGGTACGCTTCAGCAGTATGTGGACTGAGAACTCCCAGAAGTACAAGCTGGATTTCGAAGGGGCAGAAGAAGTAGAGACCAAATTGCTATCATGCGCTGGATTATAGAGAAAGCCAGAGAGTTCAAGAAAAACATCTACTTCTGCTTCATTGACTACACAAAAGCCTTTGACTGTGTGGACCACAGCAAACTATGGCAAGTTCTTAAAGAAATAGGAATGCATGGCCACCTTATCTATCTCCTGAGAATTCTATATGTGGTACAGGAAGCAACAGTTACAACTGGATATGGAACAACTGATTGGTTCAAATTTGGGAAAGGAATACTGTATATTGTCCAAGGCTGTACATTGTTCCCCTGTTTATTTAACTTATGTGCAGAATACATCATGCAAAAGGCAGGACTGGATGAATCCCAAGCCAGAAATAAGACTGCCAGAAGAAATATCAACAACTTCAGATATGCAGATGATACTACTCTAATGGCAGAAAGTGAGGAGAATTAAAGAACCTCATAATGAGGGTGAAAGAGGAGAGCGCCAAAAATGATCTGAAGCTCAACATAAAAAAAAACCTAAGATCATGGCCACTGGTCCCATCCCCTCGTGGCAAATAGAAGGGGAAGATATGGAGGCAGTGACAGATTTTACTTTCTTGGGTTCCATGATCACTGCGGATGGTGACAGCAGCCACGAAATTAAAAGACACCTGCTTCTTGGGAGGGAAGCGATGACAAACCTAGACAGCATCTTAAAAAGCAGAGACATCACCTTGCTGACAAAGGTCCGCATAGTCAAAGCTATGGTTTTTCCAGCAGCGATGTATGGAAGTGAGAGCTGGACTGTAAAGAAGGATGACCGCTGAAGAATTGATACTCTTAAACTTTGGTGCTGGTGGAGACTCTTGAGAGTCCCCTGGACTGCAAAGAGAACAAACCTATCCATTCTGAAGAAATCAACCCCTGAGTGCTCACTGGAAGGACAGATCCTGAAGCTGAGGCTACAATACTTTGGTCATCTCATGAGAAGAGAAGACTCCCTGGAAAAGACCCTAATGTTGGGAAAGTGTGAGGACAAGAGGAGAAGGGGACGTCAGAGGATGAGATGGTTGGACAGTGTTTTCGAAGCTACAAACATGAATTTGACCCAACTCTGAGAGGCAGTGGAATACAGGAGGGCCTGGTGTGCTCTGGTCCATGAGGACACAAAGAGTCAGACACGACTTAACAACTAAATGACAACAACAAAATACATACTGCACTAATATTTAACAGATCGTTAGGTTTTGGGTTAAAACATGTATCTGTTATATAATACCAGTCAATGTTTTTATAATTGTGATTGACTGTGTCTGGTGTTTTTTTTAACAACAACAACAATAATTAAAGGCAGCATTTGGAACAGCTTGCAGAGAATCCTCTCCCAAACACTTGTAACAAATACCAAATACAGTGGTGCCTCGCTTAACGAGCGCCCCGTTTAACGACGAATCCGCATAGCGTTGAGGTTTTTGCAATCGCAAAAGCGATCGCATTGCGATGTTTTATATGGCAAAACATCACTTTGCGATGGTCAGTAAGCATTTCGCTTACCAATTATCGCATAACGATGTTTTAAAAACAGCGGATAGGTGGTTCCAAAATGGCCGCCAGAAAAAAATGGTCGCGCACAGTGTTTTCGCGCCCTTCCTCGCTTACCGGGCAGCGAAAATGGCGGCCGGATGGAGGATTTCCGCATAGCGGTGAGTTTTTACCCCATAGGAATGCATTAAACATGTTTTAATGCATTCCTATGGGTTTTTTCCCCCCGCATAGCGACAAATCCGGATAGTGATGATTTTTTCGGAACGGATTATCATCGCTATGTGGGGCACCACTGTACTGAAAAGCTCTACAGGAGAGGTCAGACCCAACATCTTTGAAAACCCTCAAGGTGATGAAACTATTTTGGTGAATATCTCATAAACTTAATGCCGAACTAGACAAGATGTTCAAGACCTATAATTCCCTCGTCCATCATTTTTTAACTAAATTACAGCAGCTGGTGACACATTTGCTTTCCCTAACAGCAATTTCCTGCACATGGAAAACTTGCCATAAGTACACTTAGGCAATGTTAGACATGGATCTTAATTCTTTTATGGTCCCCTGGCTCTGTTTTGCTTAGAATACAGATGGCTAATGGGCATCTGGAAAGACAATTTTTTCCAGGTACAGTGACACTAGCAAGCATAACCTGTTTCCTTCACGATGTGTGTGTCACTGAAGATAAGGTCTTGCTGAGGTAGCTAGTCTTGGACTGAGCTGCAGGTAGTGGTCTTCGTGATTCATCTGTAAGAGAAGAAGGGTTGTACCTTCATCTCCTTCCATTAAGTGCAGACTTTGTGCTTTGACAGGGATGTGGTGGCGCTGCGGGCTAACCCGCAGAAGCCTGTGCTGCAGGGTAAGAAGACCAGCAGTCGTAAGATCGAATCCACGCGATGGAGTGAGCTCCCGTCGCTTTGTCCCAGCTGCTCGCCAACCTAGCAGTTTGAAAGCATGCATATGCGAGTAGATAAATAGGTACCATCTTGGTGGGAAGGTAAAACAGCATTCCCTAGTCACGCTGGCCACGTGACAACAGAAACTGTCTTCAGACAAGCGCTGGCTCTACGGCTTGAAAAATGGGGAAAATGGGATGAGCACCCCCCCCAAAGTCGGACACGACTGGACTAAAAATGTCAAGGGGAACCTTTACCTTTACCTTACCTTTGTGCTTTGACTAAGAAACAATATGTAGCTGATTATGTGACTGATAGCTCTTTGTTTGAAAAGATGGAGAAAGGCAACAGGTTCTACACGCAAGAAATGAAACATGATACTAACACCATCAACGCTTATTCGTTAACTGGGACTTTCATGGGTCTGGGGACCATCTTTCTACCCCTAAAAACCACCTCAAAAACACAAAATGAGAAACTAAAAGTGGCTAGAAGCCCACTTCCAATTTTGAAAAATGGCTATTTGGGGGTGTTAGAATGAGTATTTGGAGGTGCACCCCCCCTTCCTATGATCTATTTAAAAAGTGAATTAATGTTCAAGTGGGGGAAGATATCCAGTTTTTCCATTTGGTAGAATGAGCATGAAGGACTGCAAATGCAGCAGGTCTAAAGGAGGAGAAATAATTCACAATGCCACCTCAGCAGCTGCACCTGAGACCTGAAGGAAATGAACAGAAAACTATCCTACCTAGATGTATGGTATGAACCAAAGAGGCTTTATGTTCCCAGTGAAGCTTCTGATATGTCTTGTCTTTATATTATGCTCAAATTTGTTTTACATATTACAGTTCTGCAGTGCTTAAGGATCTAGATAAATGTTTCCCAACCTGGGGTTCGCAACATCCAACGCTACCGCCCCCCTGAAAAATGAAATCGCCCCCTGGGGGGCATTATCGCCCACGTTAAGAACCACTGATCTAGATAAATGTTTCCCAACCTGGGGTTCGCAACATCCAAGAGGGTCCTAAAGTGTTTTCAGGGGGAAGAGACACCCTTGTAGCCCTTGTTAAATAATTTCTTCCTTGACCTTTCACAGCAGGACATTAAAGTTAGCTTTTTTTTTGAGAGAAAGAAGGCTCTTCTTTCTGTGAAAGGATGACTGGAACTATTTTTTTTACAAAAAATAATGATAATGCCAGTGGATGTTAGCCAAAAGATACAATTGTGCTTGCATCTAGGCAATGTCACCATGTTTACCTTTTGAGTTTTACTTCATTTTGCCTCCACATATCTCTGTGAGAGTGGATTCTCAACACTTCTTCACAACAAAACAAAGGGAACAAAGGGCTTTACCAAACACTAAGCCATGAATTTTGAAGCTGGTTGCCCATATGCAAGTACAGCCATCACATTAGGTTAGAATTATATTCTGAAAAATGTATTTTTAATGTGTTTTCTTTACCCCATTAAAAATCCTATTTTATGCAAACATGGGGGTGGTGGTCACAGGTTACTTGGCTATTATTATAAAAGGGGGTCATGACTGAAAAAAAAAGTAGGAAACCACTGGTCTAGAGCTACAGAAAAAGAACTTGATAGTGGACAGAGCAGATAATCTGTCTCTTACCTGTTTCTCCCCATATTGGCAAGTACTCATCCTGCTGAATATCTAGCATTATCTCCAGACCATTGCCTGTCCCACCCTTGAATGTAGTCAACAGAGGATGCCCATCTTCTCCTGAGTTAAACATGTAGCACTTCCCATATTTCGTAAAAACCTAGGGAAGAAAGAAAGAGAAAGAGAAAAAAAAGGAGAGATTCAGTATCATTGTTGGGTATTCATCCAACAAGTCTCAAAATTTGGTTGCACACAAGAAGGTCCAGTAATCGGCCTGCAGGGAAGGTTTAAGGAGTGTGAAATCTTTCTGCCCTGTCATATCATCTGCCTGATCAACTGGGCCCTAAACTGTATGGCTATATGAACAATATAATTAGGAAGCCTTAACCCACCTGCCCTATTTTTGCATTTCTTATCTGGATTCAAGGCCTCAAATGAATGTAACTTTGATATTTCCACCTTAAAAAGGAAAAAAAAAGACATATGTATTAATCTGAAAGGTCTGGCTATCTGTAACAAACATATGAAAATCTGAAATTACACCACATCTTTGAGTTTGAGGTTCTGAAGGCAGGAACACTGAAATGGGAAGAGGAACGGTATGAAGCCCATACAGCCCACCTCAAGCACAGAAACATGTGCATATGTATCTGCACACATGCAAAGACTATAGTTGCATGTCTGTCACCTCTTCCTGAAACTTCCCATCATCACTACCACCACCACCACTGCTTTCATCACTACCAAAACCATCACCAAAGAAAGACAGAACAAGTCTAGATTTAACCTTGAAGGCGGTACATCTCCTTTAGTGAATAAGGACATCCACACAGCATTTTATTTTAGTCACACTTGTGGAAAGCGTACATTCTAGACAGCTATCTCAGACAATATAATCTATCTGTTTCTGCCCTCATCTTCTTCTTACCTACATGTTATGGGTTGCTTTACTGAAGTGAATTAATTAATTATTCATTATCCCTAGTGCCATCATGCTTTCTTGTATTTCTGGAAATTCTTTAAAGGTCTTTATGTCAACAAGGGGGAAAAAGAGCTAGTGAATACTCCAAAGGGGTCAACCTTCGTACTTGCAAGATCTGGAGGCAGCACTTTCAATGGCAAGACAAAGGAGAAGAGCCAGGTTGAGACATGATGGTTTGGGGGCCAAAGGTGTCATTCAAATTTGGGGTGAAAGGAAGTCTAAGTGAAAGATAAGGAGTCTGGAAGAGGTAAAACCAAGAGGTTGCTCCAAGGAAAGAGAGGAACTGGACTGCTATAGATATTCTCAGTTTTTGACCCCAAGCCTTTTTCAGTCTCAAAAAGATGATGCTAGAGACGTGGGAAGCATCTCAAAGCCTAGATGTTGGGTTTCTACCAAGCTGCTGTTTTCCTCCAAACAAACAAAGCATGGCTTATACTTCTGAACTCCAGAGGCATTCTTTGTATCAACATACAACTCTAATATCCTTTTCAATCACCGCCTCATCGCTCTTTGGAGAGGAAAGGGGGGGGGGAAGGGAGAGACGAGATTTTCCTGCACAACAGGCTTCATCCTTCTTAATGAGGTTGTCTGCTATTTCCCCAGACACGATACGAAAAGCTATTTAAACAGCATAGCTACCGTGATCCGTTCCTGGCCAAGCCGAAAAGAAGAGCCATAGCTATTATTTTTGTTGCAGATGCAGTGGTTTCCTCTGTAGCAAAAACATGAAAGCATGAAGGGGAGACTCGAGGCTGGACATCCAGAGACAAGGATACATGGGGCTATTATCTTGCTGAGATTCTGCTCCATGGAAAGTCCTATCATTACAATAAGCCATTGCTTGAGGAAGGGTTGCCAGTGCTTACATAAAGGAGGAGGTTCCTTCATGGAGATTGCCTTTTTCGCAGCACTTCACACTCAGCACAATAGGATATTGGCCCAAATGTTATAGTTCTTTCTCTTTCACACAATGTATCCTACTTTTCATAGTCACCAGGTGAAGTAAAGGGCTGCATGGGGATGCTTAAGCTTTATCCCTTTGGCCACAAGGATGTTATTCAGCCTTAATCTGGTTTTTGAGATAAAAAGGGAATTGCTCACAAGCCTTCAAATATATTTGTACAGTCATAAGAGACAGAAACAACCTCCTCCTTTTTAAGTAAAATAAGAGCAGAGAATCTTGTGAAGCTGAATCCTCTGCCATATATATATAATATGTTTCAGCAGAATTATGAGATATACTCAATCTTGCCTATTGCTTCCTGGTGTGCTGTGGATCCAATGAGCCAATGGTTTGCTATAGCAGTGGTCCCCAACCTTGGGCCTCCAGATGTTCTTGGACTTCAACTCCCAGAAATCCTGGCCAGCAGAGGTGGTGGTGAAAGCTTCTGGGAGCTGTAGTCCAAGAACATCTGGAGGCCCAAGGTTGAGGACCACTGTCCTATAGAACCCTTTGGCTCCTTCATTTGCACCCATGTAAGTATGACACAAAATCTCCACAACACTGCAGGGGACTCTGAGGGGACATTCTAGGTCTATATTCCTATGGGTGGCTGCTGTTCAGGCCATTTAGTTATAAATGTTGCACTACACAGGTTGAAAGCTCACCAAAACACAGCAAACATTCTCCTTGAGCCCTCAAAGCTAAATGCTGAAGTTGGTAATGGTGAAGAAAATATCTCATAAATCATACTGAAACATGGAGTTGGGAAATTCTATCCTGCCTGCCTCGAACACATAATTAACAGATGGAATTCACTGCCATAAGAGATGATAGTGTCTGCTAGTTCTGCTAGATTCTAAATTGGATTAGACAAAAATTCTTGGAAGATACATCAATGGCCTGAGCAACAGAAATCTTCATGTACAGAGGAAGAATGCCTCTATCATAGGTGTGTTCAGCCCTAACAACAGCACCTGGTTTGGGTGGGAAAGAATAAAGACATATGGGAGTCTACATACAAAGAAGGGTGGGTGGAATCAAGAATGTGGGGTAGACTTTAATCTCTTCCCCATTCTCATGATCCAGCTCAAAATTCCTTGGAGTAAGGGAAATATTTACTTAAGTTTACTGCATGGGGGAGGGCAAAAACCCACTTCCAGTGATCCTAGGATATCGCTACCTCCCAGTGCTCGGATCAGCTGGTGGGAGGATATTATCAGAAGTCAGAAGTAGCTGGGGGGGAAGGGGAATCACAAAAATGGCACTGAGAAGTACACCTACAGCCCATGGGCCACAGACTGTGCGTTGCTGCTCTATCAATGAAAAGAGTACAAGGGACTACCCACCTTGAAATTCTGCTTGGGAAACAGAGACAGGGCCTTAATTTAATTAAGCAAGTCATGTCCTTTTGCTAATGAGCTAGCAAATTCTTCACACATACAAAGATGGGGTTAAGGGCCTCTTCTCAATAACACATGCAGAGCAAAGAGGGGAATTATTGGTATTGGCATCGATTGGACATGCTCATTTGGAGAGCCCTCCTGCTTTTGGGCAATACTTTGCGAACACACCACCACACTGAGGATGTTGGGAGCACAGGCCATCTCCCTTCCTCCCCATAGCTGTATGCTTCATTCTGGGTAATTAGTGTTCTGGGAAAACAGTCATGATAGCAATTTGCATAATTTACAGCCCCTTGCATGTCTTAGCTGTTTGGAGCCTGACCGCTAAAATTTTTTCAACTGCTGCCTGAATATTAGCTCCGTATTTCTTTTTAAATACCCACTCAAGCAGTGCTAAATTGTGCTGATGGTTGGAAAGGTGATTTAACACGCCTCTAAGCACCCTCTACAGCAACCACCAGTCAAACAAAGCCTTTCACCAAGACACTGTTATGACAAGCAGGTGATGAGTTAAAAGTAAAAGGGAATGGGGCAGGGCCTCTTGCCTCCCTGATATCCCTCCTTCTTGGATCCTAGTTCTGGAGCGTGAAAAGGAAAGTTCAAAACCATTTTCATTTTTTTTTATTGCTCAATCAGACCCCCATACCCTTCCATTCGTTCACATACGCCCTGTACTCTGTGGAGGAGGGGAAGTATTCCATTTGCCAATATCCTGAAGTGGTTTGCTTATTAAGCCACTTCAGGATATCAGAAGGAGCCGAACCAAATAGGCATGCTTTAACTCTGATATGCCATTTGGATGTGAGGACAGCACCAAACAGCATATTATACCTCTGCCTGATGGTCTGATCCCAAGCCACCCTACTGAGCTTACCTCTGCCTGCTCCAAAAGAGCCAGTGTAGATGGGCCCTGTGCTATATTACTTAACAAGTAATAATGTTTTAATAAGGAATTTCTCTCCTTATGTGGTGTAATGGTTAACAGTTTAGTTATGTTTATGTTCACAGGGTATATCACCTTATTAAATGGTGGAGGAAGAATACCAAATGGTTTTAAGTCCTGGCTCATGTTGTGGCTTATACTCTTTTGTGGACTCTGTCAGGAGGAGGAGGTACACTACAAGAGTGTTCGGCACCATTGGACAACAGCATGCAACACTAAAAACAACTAGACGTTATGATTTAACTACTTTTGAGAAATGAGAAAATAACTATTAAGCACCATTGGACAACAGCTTGCAACACTAAAAACAACTAGATGTTGTGATTTAACTACTGTACTTTTGAGAAATGAGAAAATAACTATTAAAATGCAACTATAATGGTTGCTAACTACTTGGAGGTGTCCTAGGAGTAGAACCATAATGCATCACTTTATAAAAGTGCCTTGAACTATAACTATTCTTCAAATATGTCTTTCCAGATTCTTAGCTTGTTGGCTAGACACCCTGACAACACACAGAAGAGGGCACTTTCCCTCTTGCCTCACATACCAGAACACCTTTGTGAATGGGGAATAGAAGCCAAGCATGGCTTGTACAGCCTTTACTGTGGGATAGATGATGAACAAGAAGCATGGAAGAAAATGGCCCCTCTGGCAGTGGGAGGCTTTGTTATTGTTTGTGAAAGCATATATATTTTGCAGCCCCTTGTCTGGAGTGCTGGACTAATGCGCTGTTGAGACTCAACATGTTCTTCACTCTTAGGCAAAACAAGCAGCCTATGCCTCTCTTTGCCTCCGGCACTGTCTGAGGCCTCAATGAGTCCTTATTTACATCAAGCTTGCTTGTGTGACATCCATAGCAAAATATTGCAAGAAAATGCCCAGAAGT